GGTGGTGAAGACAGTGGTGGTGGAGACACCGTGCTGCTGGTGGTGGTGAAGACAGTGGTGGTGGAGACACCATGCTGCTGGTGGTGGTGAGGACAGTGGTGGTGGAGACACCGTGCTGCTGGTGGTGGTGAAGACAGTGGTGGTGGAGACACCGTGCTGCTGGTGGTGGTGAAGACAGTGGTGGTGGAGACACCATGCTGCTGGTGGTGGTGAGGACAGTGGTGGTGGAGACACTGTGCTGCTGGTGGTGGTGAAGACAGTGGTGGTGGAGACACCGTGCTGCTGGTGGTGGTGAAGACAGTGGTGGTGGAGACACCGTGCTGCTGCTGGTGGTAAAGACAGTGGTGGTGGAGACACCATGCTGCTGGTGGTGGTGAAGACAGTGGTGGTGGAGACACCGTGCTGCTGGTGGTGGTAAAGACAGTGGTGGTGGAGACACCGTGCTGCTGGTGGTGGTGAAGACAGTGGTGGTGGAGACACTGTGCTGCTGGTGGTGGTGAAGATAGTGGTGGTGGAGACACTGTGCTGCTGGTGGTGGTGAAGACAGTGGTGGTGGAGACACTGTGCTGCTGGTAGTGGTGAAGACAGTGGTGGTGGAGACACCGTGCTGCTGCTGGTGGTGAAGACAGTGGTGGTGGAGACACCGTGCTGCTGGTGGTGGTGAAGACAGTGGTGGTGGAGTAACCGTGGTGGTGATGGTGGAGAGACCCATGGTGGTGGTAGTGGAGGCACCATCATTTATGCCCTCATTAAGTGGTTACCCCCGCTCACGAGACCACAGCGCGACTGTGTAACAATTTGGGACTAACTCTCCAATGCAAATATGTTCATTCATTTATCCAACTTCTAATCGGTGGTTAGGTAACAACAACAGCATTACATTGCTTACACAGGCGTGGCGCATCCCCAGAAGGATCTCGCCGAGGGGGTTTTCAGGAGCTGGGTCCTGTTGCTGCTACAGTGGGTGGGTGTTTGGGAGCGATTGTGTGGACGTTGTGTGTTTTTCTACTGTTCGGGCCTTTTGTGATCGACGCGTCTCGCGGCGCACACACACACCGCATGTCCCTGTGGCACCTCTCCCATAATTCCCATCCACCCCCTGCAATGGGGAAGCGGCCCAGGAGCGGAGCAGCTCCAACAAAGGCGAAGCGAGTGCTGTGCGCAGAGGAAGTGGAGCACAATCGCCGCCCCCCCCCCCTCCGTGCGGCGTGCACCTTTGTGGGCCCCCTCGGGAGATTCACGCGGCGGGGAATTCTCGCCGCGGGCCACCGCTTCGCGTTTGGCGCCGGTGGAGCCAGTCGACCGGGGGCGCAACTGTGGATACATCAATAATCTAGGGGGGGGGGGGTGGTTATCCGATTTCTCATGAAACTCATTTGCCTATGGCAGAGATTGTAGTGCCGTGAGCGGATGGGACCCACGACACTGAAATATAAGGTATGACAACAATACACATTCTGACTTAATCAACAAAATAGGTCATGGAATAAACTGCGCCTATTTATATTTTCCCTGTTCCCCCCTATTCTTTAACACTACAGTTTGACTGTTGTACATTTTGTTGTCATCAATACATTCCTTAGTGACCCCTATTCCCTGCCATATTTTATTAATCATCTTTACATTAAATTACGTTTAAGATCTAAGTAAAAAAAAGCAAGCGACTACCTACAAGGGGGCAACCAAAGAGCCACATGGAGGAAGCGAAAGAGCCACCACATGCGACTCCGAGCTATAAGTTGCCGACCCCTGGAATATAGGACCGCAGAACTTGGGCAGTTGTCGCCGGTTTACAGCCTGGCTGCTGCTGCTGCCTTCCTGTTTTGTCAGTGGTTCCTCCTGGAGTCACCCTCTCTGTCTCTCTGAGCGAATGCTGTGCGGCAGCACATTACAAGCTGAACTCGTGCTATTAGTAGCATTCATATAACCCGGCGGAATAACCGCATTGTTTTGTTTGCGCATGTGAACCGGTGTAACCAGGGGAAATAGCCATTGGAAAGGGGAAGAATACCCAAGACCACCCTGTACCAGATGGGTCACACAAAAAAACACGTGCGTTTGGCAGCAAAAAAAAAAACCACGAGCAGTTCCTGAAGAACTGCATTGTGAAACTAATCGTCTTAAAACTTAAATTATTATTTGGTGATGTTTAAGTCACTCTCAAAGTAAATTTGAGCGATTGCGATCGACTGACAGGCAAGAGGACCACACTGCACGTCTCAAGGAAGCGCTGATGGTTTTGCACGCGATGCGCAGAAGCCGAGTAATTTCACACGTATCACTGCGGTTTGAAACGTGGATTTGCAGCCTCCGCTATTATTCTCTTACTTTGGGGTTTTCTTGTCACAAATTTGATGTGTAAGGTCAACAGCCCTCTTACTTTAGTCTCCTACAGGCCTCTTCCTGCCCCTATAGGACAAGTTTGTTGTCTGATTAGCACGGTTGGCTACATATGGTGCGAAAGAAATTCAACATACATACATATACGTGATCTGTGTGTGATCCGCCAACCCCACTTTTGCACACGCCCTACAGCGAGCGCCAAGTGAGAAGACATGTAGGCCGTACAATACGGCTTACAAATCCGTGCGACACCTTTTAAGGTCGCTCCAAATACATTTGCAGGGACTCGGTCAAATTAAGGATCATTCGCACAGTTTGGCTTTGCTGCCCCTCATGCCTCAGCAGAGACTAAAACCGCTGAGGGTAAGAGCGCTATAATCTCGGGGTCTCCATGCACATAGAGGAAGTGCCAGTGTGCACCAGAGAGGAGGCTGGATTGTTCAATATTTACATTTGACCTTTCTCATGAGAAAGAGGAAATTGCAATCATAATCAACTCTCAGAGTAAGATCTCTCAATGTTTCCACAGCACAATTAGCGAAATGTGAAGTGAGGACACATTCCAACCACGGGGTGGTCTGTTGAACGCAAAACAACACGTTGCCACCCACTCAGATTCAGAATATTTATTTATCCTTCAGAAATCCAATGAGCTATGAAGCTCTTTTTTACATATGTCCAGTAGGGGGTGGGTCAGAAAGTTAAAGCAACAAACAATACAAGAAAATATAGGAGTGAAAAGTATAGAAAATGTAAGCAAATCACTAAAAACAAATATACTAAAACTAAACTTTTTATTTTACCAGGTTAGGCCCACTGAGCGTTATAGCTCTTTTTAAGAAGCAACCTGGCCACAAATGAGAGCGCAACGAAGTGGCTTATTTTGTGGATACGTATAGCAGCCAAATACTCTCAACGCGTGTTTCACTCGCATGGGTTAAATCGGCCACACCCTGCTGAGGAGACCAGGTGAAGTTAAAATTGACTCAGGATTTGTCTTTTAAAAAATACATTTTGTTGTAATCACTAGCCCCGTGGAGGGAAGCCAAATGCTCATGGATAAAACAGAACGTTGGTATTGAAAATTATGCTTCTGGCCTTAGATTTCAGAGTTATTACCTTCTATGTGTGGGTCCCATCCGTTCACTACAGTACACTCTCCACCATGGGCAAATGATTGAATGAGGAATCATAAAAAACACCCTCAAATAGGATCCTACTAAAAATGCATCGTGGCCAAAGGCAGCCAAATAATATTTCGGTGCACAACCTCGGAAAGAATCACATCCAGGGACACACACACGTGACTTTATTTTGCATCACCGCAATTTCCCGCTTATGGCCACCAACACCAGTGACGATTATCTGAACCGGTAATGGGTCTTTCCTAGGTCGACTCAGCCTGAGAAGAGTACTTGGAGCGGTGTGTAAACATCACCGCTTGGGAGACAAAGACGGCCAGGCGTGGTGTCGGCCACCCACCCTCTCGTGTGCCATGCCAGCCTTCAGAGATGCTCGCTAACAGCACTTGCCCCAACAGTCTGTTCAGGCTATACAGGGGATCTTTGCGTTGTGATGCTCCAAGTAAAACCATGTGACTTGCTCCTATCTCTTAGGGGTTGGCTGCCGTCCATGGTGCAAATGTGCCCTCGGCCCACTTGGCTCCACTAAACAAAAAAATGGGGAGACAACGCACGACGAGGGGGGGAGAATATTTTGTCTGTCGTGATTTGTTGTTGTTGTCCGAGGGCAGTTGTTGGTGAGTTCATTTATACTCTCAACACCGTCCTACCCACCCGATAGCACACCGTTCGGGCGTTGGACGCGGTGGCAAGTGGGTATGAGCTGCAGTTGTCCATCTTCGTGACGGGTCCTTCTGCTGCCTTGTTCACCTATCGTGGAGGATGCCTTATCAAGTGGAGTGCAAATGCTTCTGGGTTTGAGGGTACGCGATGGGGGCGGTCAACCTGGTGTATAGGTGAGATGGTGCCAGGGATTGATTGTGTTCCGGTGGATTCAGGGCCGACCTGGGGTCTAACGTGGCAGTGATAACAGTCGTCGACGTTCAAGCATTTCAAGATGGATTGGGATGGATTGCGGTGTCACAAGACCTTCGGGGATGGTGATGATATGGAAACAGACCTTCATTCAGCCCTGGATGGATGATGATGTGTGTGTCTTGCACACGGCGCATTCACTGTTGACTGCTTGTTTTCATGCCGAGCAGTGTGTGTCAAAGGGCAAAGTCTCTGCTGAAGTGGCACTTGTCCTAGTTAAATAAATTCTCAGCCTTGACCCTTGGCATCTCATAAATTTACTTTCTGCTTGCTTAATTAATTTACTTTCAAGATCAAAGTTCTCCGAAAGCCACGGACGTGCAGTGCAACTTCTCACGTGTGCTCGGACATGGGGGATGCTGTGGGTGATGATTATCTGTGCATTTAACGTAAAACGTGGGTAGTCAGAGTATGTGTGGGACGTGTCGGAGCGCCGCGATGATGAAGCCTCTTCATCCTGCAGCTGCCCACGCTCACATGCCCTTTTCTCCTCTGCGGGACCATTCTGAAGAGAGCCGCTATGCACATCTGGCCATTGTGGCGTACTGGCATGTACCGGCCTACATCTCCACCACTGAATACGACTCTTTCTCTGCGCAGGTGTCTTTGGTTGACATCAACCCCATTGTTGGACAGGCAGCAAAGTCCGAACTGGATTCTCAATTTGGAGCAGACAAGAGCATATTTCTGCAATGTGACGTTACCAGTGCCACGGAGCTGCAGGGTTTGTGATGGTCACGTCTTCTACACCGCACTACATGGGCCCACTACAAAACTACGACATCCTATCACTACACCACTACACTACAGCCTACACTTTACTGCACCATCGTTACAGTACACCATTATACTCCAGCGCTATGCTTCACTGCACTGCTACACTACATCACTACATTACACCATTACACTACACCTTATCACCACAACCTTATACTAACACCACTACACTACACATTTATATTCCAACACAATCCTACACCACACCACTACATAATTACATTACACCACATCAACACAATTGTACACTACACCACTAGATTGCACAATTACATTACATCACATGAACACAATCCTACACTACACCACTACACTGCACAATTGCATCACATCATACACTATCACCGTATTTACCGTATGCATTGATGAAAAGCTGTGTTGAGGGCGTGTGTTGTTTGTGCGTTGGCATTACAGGGATAATAGATTACTCACTCCAGGGTAAAGTCCAAATAATTTCCAAAAATCCATGCCATGCATCGCCACGTTACCACGTGATGTAGGCAGCGTTCATTTTAATTAAAAACATTCATAAAGGAAGATGATGTTTCGTACACTTGTGTAGCGCATGGCAGGCTCACACTGTTCATTTAACACGTGGATTGGGTCCTGGACCGTGTGTGCTGTTCAACAGCAGCACGGCTCCCTGACCCACGCTTGCGATGCTGATCATTGAGTGAGTTCTGTTCAACAGCAGCACGGCTCCCTGACCCACACTTGCGATGCTGCTGATCATTGAGTGAGTGCTGTTCAACAGCAGCACGGCTCAATGACCCCTTGCGATGCTGCTGATCATTGAGTGAGTGCTGTTCAACAGCAGCACGGCTCAATAACCCACACTTGCGATGCTGATCATTGAGTGAGTGCTGTTCAACAGCAGCACGGCTCCCTGACCCACGCTTGCTATGCTGATCATTGAGTGAGTGCTGTTCAACAACAGCACGGCTCCCTTGACCCACGCTTGCGATGCTAATCATTGCTCACACGCGACGCCTGCACTTGGAGCATTGCCGCACGGGCGCTTCAAACAGCGTCCCCCACACCTGCGATTAGCACGGTTCGCCACATACGGTGCGAAAGAAGTTCAACATACATACATGATTATTATTGTTTTCAATGTTTACCCAGGAAAGCCTCTACGCTTCGTGATTCGTTTCCTGGAGGGTAATGGACAAGTGTACACAGTAGGGCATTACGATTCCTGTGCTGTATATCCTCTTGAGTAATTTGCGGTGTAATTTTTGTCACAATTTGGCCAAACGTGGACTGTGATGCCATCACGCCATTGTGCATAGACTGACGGTTCAAATTCTTTGTTTAGCTATCATGTAGCGCAGTGGATATGAGTTCATCGACTCACACAGAGACTCATAGACTCACACGGAGACCGTGATGTCGAGGGATCTGTAACGTCCACTGTGAAGCTGATGGTGCATAATGTTATGGTTAGTAGTATCAAAATCAGAATATTTATACTGGAGAAATCCGATGAGCGAAAGCTCTTTTTCACAGATGTCCAGTAGGGACGGGTCAGAACGTTACAATAACAAACAATTCAAAACATGATAAGAGTGCAAAATATAGGAAAGGTAAACAAATAACTTAAAAAAAATATACAAATACAACTAAACTATTTGTTATCTTACCAGGTAAACGCACAGAGCTATTCACTCATTTTTTCATAAGCAACCTGGCTATCGCAAATGATAGCTCAACGAAGAATTCGAGCCGTGAATCAATGCAACAAGCTGCAAACGCACTACCTACCCCTCTTGTCCACCAAAGTCGTTTGAATAGAACAAAACTCACAGACACACACAGGTGCTGCTCGCTAACAGCACTTGCCCCAAGAGTCTGTTAAGGCTATACGGAGATATGTATCTTTTTGTGTGCGTGTATAATGCTAATACGCCACTACAATTTGGATAAGATCCTATAAATAAGTTCTTTATTTTAACAAGGAATACCCAGATCATGTTCATATTAACAAGGAATACCCGGTTAATATCATGAGTAATATCTTAATTCAGGTTCCTTCTAAAGCATCACGGCATTATTCCATAAAATGCCGTGCACATTGGCCGTCACCACCCAGGCCACGAAGACAGCAGGAGGGTCAAGTACTCTCTGGACGCCACCAATAACACCGAAATCTACTTCAGATCCTTATCTATTGTAATGCGGGCCCCACTGTCCCTGCTTTAATGGCCTCTTGGCATGAGCACACGCCTTTTCCTGCTAAGCAGGTTTTCCCGCCCCCTGGAAATGAAAACACAAGACAAAGAACCTCCGTGTAGCCTTAATAGACTTTTGAGGCAAGTGCTGTAAGCGAATACCTATGAAGGCTGACAGCTCATGAGGGGGTGGGTGGCCAACACCACACCCGGCCGCCTTTGTCTCCTGAGTGGTGATGTTTTACACACCGCATCAAGTACCCATTTGAGGCCCAGGACTGGTTCAAATAATCGCCACTGGTGTTGGTGGCCGTGAACGGGAATCGAATTCGGGTCGCCGAGTTTTTAGCGCAACGTATAGCTAACCGCTACACTACCGCTCCCCACTAATACATTCAAACACAAACACCTGAATGACAGACAAGAGGCCGTGCCCACAGGCGCAGGGCCTTTGCCACAACACACAAACATGTTCCCTGGCACCAAATGCACACGAACGTAAAGGCAACCGACTTCACGCCACCGTGCAGACAAACAGGAGAATAATGCCACTGCCTTCCCATGCGCAGTCACACGGCCTGTGTCGGGTGGATGCGAAGTCCACCCAGCACAGCTCAGCCTATGGCACCGGTCGACCCAGCAGCAGCATTTTGTTGAACAGGGCACACACCCTGCTGATGAGGTTCAAAGAAGGTGATACCAGTCCGGAGTGCCACCAGTGGTGAGATGTTCACTCCCTCACCTGGTATACAGGAGGTTGTGGGTGATAAGCCACTTTGTTGAGCTATGATTTGTGGCCAGGTCACGTCTGAAAAAGAGCTCTATAGTTCAGTGGGCCTTACCTGGTGAAATAAAAAGTTTAGTTTTTAAACCGACGCTGATGGAACACATTTGTCCAGAACCTCTGGTGGCCGGGACATTGTGAGCATTGCGATCGGCAGCGAGACGACGCTATGCCCCCTTTCCATTGTGGATCTTGCAACGCAGACGCCTTCGACAAGACCAAGAGCCACTTTGGGGCGATCGACATCGTCATCAACAACGCCGGTATCAACAATGAAGCCGAGTGGGAGAAGACCTTCAACATCAACCTGGTACGTGTAGACCTTCAACAGCAAGCTGTCGTGTGTGTGTAGACCATCAGCATAACCCTGGTGGAGGCATCGAGACCATGAACGTCACCCTGGTGAAATGCTCTTGGAGAACTCGCGCAGTGGATGCGTGTTCATCGACTCGTACGGAGACCCATCGACTTGCACAGAGATCCATCGACTTGCACAGAGACCCATAGACTCGCACGGAGACCCATAGACTCACACGGAGACCCATCGACTTGCACGGAGACCCATAGATTCGATAATATTAATACTGCTTGTGGGAAGTCAGCAGCGGTCATTCTGTGGACAAACCGGTGTCTGCCAATGGGAATGCGGAGTGGGGGGGGTGCTGCTAGCGGATTAATTAGAGCGTATCCCCCAATTGCTCCGAGGCTCTTGAAGTAGCGGAATTCGCTCGATGCTGCACACAGACGCTACTGAGGCCGCGCGTGTGCGACGGTGGCGGCGGCTTCGCACTTTCAGGACCCTGCACCTGCCATGCGTTGCGTGCAGGTGGCCGTAGTGAGGAGCACGTACCTGGCCTTTGAGATGCTCAGCAAGGGTGGCGTCGTCATCAACATCGCGTCGATGGCAGGTGAGCGGCCCTCCTCACGGTCCTCGTCGTGCGGCCAGCCGCTGCGAACGTCGTCGCATCTGGAAACGATTCCATGCAATGATTGTCGCGATTGTTCCACCGCACCCCCCAAGGATCCTCCCGCGTAAACTGGACGCGGGGTTGTTGAATAGAATAAATGAGCCCCTCCATGGTAAAAATGCACCCGGGGTTTGAGACAGTGTGAGGGGTCTGCTGTATCGGCAAAAACTGCTTCGTGCTCAGTCAATGGCAGCCGCGGTGTGGGAGTAGCGGGGACCTGTTGACGACGGAACAACGGACACTTCGTTCGTCCGTTTGTGATCGAGATTCACTCAAGCGACGCTGGTTGCACACCCCCGTCTTGGCGAGTTGTGTATGTATGTACGTTGAACTTCTTTCGCACCGCACATAGCCAACCGTGCTAATCGGAGTTGCAGGGGAAAAGGACAACAAACTAAACACAACAACCAGCAATTCTAAAGAAAAATCAGTGGACAGAGCCAGGGGACAGAAAAGTGCCAAGCCTAACCAGGTTACGTCGCTCAAATCACGTGGCCTCCGATCCATCCAACACCCCCCCTCACCCCACGCCCCCTCCCACACCGAGCCCGCAAGGGCAGCAGTCTAGAAGGGGTCACGAGTGATGGCCAGTGGGTGATTCTTTCAAACTGCTGCTTAGATGAGATCGATGTCAGCATAGGGTCACTGGCGAGCGATATTTGATCGGGCCCTGGGCCCTATCCATCATCAAACCACACTGACCAGCGTGGTGAGGCACAACCCACGTGACCAGGGCCTGGCGTTTGAACAGGCCTCCTTCGTCCAGCAGGGGATCGACAGACCCGGGGAGGGCGGTTAATAGCGATTGTTCCATCGGCGACTCGCTCTGCTTGTTCATCCTTTTGCTGCCTTTTTCACCCAGTTCAACGTAATTTCATCTCCCGAACAGTGCTGGCACGTTGTCGTAATGCCGGGGGGTGCACGGCAGTGGCCCGGGAGCCACGCCGGTGCCCTCCCCACCACCCCCGCTGTATACAGGCACTGTTTGGCTCGGGCTGCTGCTGCTGTTGTCTCGTTGGTCGCACTGCGGGGGGTTTGAGCTGTGCCGCTTTGCTGCTTGTGCCCACTGTGTGTTTGCAGGCCTGGGCGTCATCCCGTATGCGCCGGTATACTGTGCATCCAAGCACGGCGTCGTCGGATTTTCCCGCGCCGTCGCGGTGAGTTTTTTATTTCAAGCGCGAGAGGTGAAATCGTACAAAACACAAGGAGTTTTTATTTTAATTTTAAAATACAGTTCATCATCGATTACCCGGCTTTCAACATTATCCGGAGGCCGATCTGGCAAATCTCCATCACAGCTGATGGAGTTGGATTCAGACTCTGAATGGCCACCTCTCAATTCTACAGCCCTCTATCATCACCCCATGCAGAGTCTTCGAGATTGGAGTAATAAGTACAGCACATTGAATACAGGAACTGTTTACAGTAGGATATTTATTCGTCTATTTGTAAACAAATTAAAAACACAAAAAACATATACACAACAATAATGTGCTAATCAAATACTACACAAAGCTAGCGAATTATTATTAATAGAGAGAATACAACACAACAGGAGTGAATTGTCTTATATTTCGGAATCTCTAAGGCTGTTGCACTTGGATATAAGCAATAATGTATCTATGCATTTTTGGAATATAATCGATACTATAACACAACAATCAGTTGATAATGTGTTTAATCAAACAAAAACTAGCCCAATGAATAAATTCTCTAGACTTCATAGTAAACAAGTCCCTACTAAAAACTAACAATTTAAAAACAAAACCGTAATGAACTTATCTAACACTGTTTTAACCAGTGACATGATTTCTGTCCTTTCTAAAGGCCTTAACTTTGCCGTTACCCCACGCACAATTCCAGTGGATGAGATCATTGCTGAGGTAGAATCAGCAGTAAGACTACTTCCACATAATGAGGCAGAGATGACTAAACACGAGGTTGCCAAAATAATTGAGAATAGTAAAGTACCAAAAGTAAATATTAGCTTGAACGAAGCAAAAGCCTTAAGAGAGCTCCGATTCAATAAAGATATTCAAATCCTAGCAGCTGATAAAGGCCGCACTACTGTAGTGATGTCACGAGCTGATTATGATGATACAATTAAAGATTTACTCGATGAAAGTACCTACATTAATATTAAACGAGATCCAACCAATACTTTAGAATGTAAGACTACTGCAATCATTGCAAATTAATTAATTCCTAAGAATGAGCAATACCGAATTAAGCCAAGGGCTTCAAAACCACCGCGATTGTATGGGCTACCAAAGGTTCATAAAATCGGCATCCCATTACAACCCATAGTCAGTACAATTGGCTCTGCCACATATAAATTGGCAAAATATATAACTAAACAAATACAGCTGTACATCGGTAGGACATCTTTATTCATTAAAAATTCAGAACATCTTGTGAATGTGATTAAAGATATCAAACTTAACCCTAATGATATTCTGGTGAGTTTTCATGTGATTTCTCTATTCACAAAGGTTCCAGTGAACGAGTTGCTTAAATTACTTGATACACTGGTAAAGAATACAGGTTTACCAAAAGATGTTCCGAAACTAGCTGATCATTGCTTAAATAACACTTACTTCTTATGGAGAGGCGATTTCTTTAAACAAAGGGGAGGAGCAGAAATGGGCTCTCCTTTATCTACTGCTATAGCCAATCTGTACATGGAGAATTTTGAAACAAGAGCACTTGCCTCGAGTACATTAAAACCATCCTTTTGGTTTAGATATGTTGATGACACTTTGGTTAAATTTCGATTTAAAGCTTTCGTGACTGCAGGGATTCATCTTCTTGGTTCTTTCAGTAAAGTCACGTAGAAGGGAAATAATAAAATAATAATAAAACATAATTAAATAATTCTCACGTCGTTTCGGCCACAACGCAAGCAGCCGTCCTCAGGTGAAGAACAGGTCTGTCGGAAAGACAGCGTCTGAATGAACACCACCAGGCTTGGCAGCGTATATTTAAGCTGGGTTGTAGGGGGAAGAGCGCCTTGACGAAATAATTTGCATATCAAGAGGAATTTAGCATATTTATGGGAAATGCAGATATGGGATTAGTCACTACTTGTGGAATGCGTAGGAGGTGGGCGGCAGGTTTCAAAGTCATATAATGCCCGTGCATTATGCAGGATTAGCAGTATCAAAGGGAGGGAGTAGGGTTAGCATTAATAAAGGGAAGGAATGTTAATAGTATGGAGCTGCAGCAACTAAACCACTACGTAAAAAAATGTAAGAGAAAAAAGTTTAGCTGGAGGCATATTATATTTTTTGCGACATAGAATTGTAATGTATGACTTATTGTTAGTAGCTCAGCTTATTGGAGAGTATATTTAGTATACTGATGATACTGATGTAGTTTATATTTTAGTTTTTTACATGGTGGTTTAGTTGCTGCAGTTCCATACTATTAACATTCCTTCCCTTTATTAATGCTAACCCTACTCCCTCCCTTTGATACTGCTAATCCTGCATAATGCACGGGCATTATATGACTTTGAAACCTGCCGCCCACCTCCTACGCATTCCACAAGTAGTGACTAATCCCATATCTGCATTTCCCATAAATATGCTAAATTCCTCTTGATATGCAAATTATTTTGTCAAGGCGTTCTTCCCCCTCCAACCCAGCTTAAATATACGCTGCCAAGCCTGGTGGTGTTCATTCAGACGCTGTTTTTTCGACAGACCTGTTCTTCACCTGAGGACGGCTGCTTGCGTTGTGGCCAAAACGTCGTGAGAATTATTGTATTATGTTTTATTTGTATTATTTTATTATTTCCCTTCTACGTGACTTTACCGAAAGAACCAAGAAGACACTTTGGTTGTCTGGCCACATGGTAAAGATGCACTTAATGATTTCCTAAATCATCTCAATGCACAAAACCCGGCTATCCAGTTCACCATGGAAATGGAGGTAAATAACAGACTCCCGTTCCTAGATATTTTGCTGGGACATGGTCTTCATGGCAAAATAACACACAGCGTTTACCGAAAGCAAACGCACACTGATGCCTATCTGAATGCAGATTCACATCATCACCCAGCTCAGAAATCGTCTCTTATCAAAACACTCATACATCGGGCAAAAACAGTGTCAGATGGTGAGAGTCTAGTGAGAGAGATGAAACATGTTAAAGAAGCACTAAGACAGAATGGCTACAATAATGCTCAAATTAACAGAGCACTGAAGGCAAAATCACGAACGCAAAGCAAAACTGCTGAAAGCGATAAGATTGTTCAAACAATCAAAATTCCATACATCTCAGGAGTAACTGACAAATTTGCCCGGGTTTTGAAAAAGCAAAACATTAAAGTAAGATTTCGATTTAAAGCTTTCGTGACTGCAGGGATTCATCTTCTTGGTTCTTTCGGTAAAGTCACGTAGAAGGGAAGTAATAAAATAATAAAAATAAAACATAATAAAACAATTCTCACGACGTTTCGGCCACAACGCAAGCAGCCGTCCTCAGGTGAAAACCAGGTCCGTCGAGGCGACAGAGTCTGAATGAAACAGCACACGGGCTTAGAGCATATATATAAGCTGGGCGCATTGACAAAGGAATTTGCATATCAACAGGAATTTAGCATATTTATGGGAAATGCAGGAATGTAATTAGTACTGCATATGCATGTGCATTATGCAGGATTAACAGCATCAAAGGGAGCTGCAGTTACTGCTGCTGCAGAAGTTGCTGCTGCTGCTGTAGTTTCTGCTGCTGCTGCAGTTGCTGCTGCTGCTGCTGCAGTTGCTGCTGCTGCTGCACTTGCTGCTGCTGCTGCACTTGCTGCTGCTGCTGCACTTGCTGCTGCTGCTGCAGTTGCTGCCTTATCCATTTTAATATAACACTATGTATTATTCTACCCACCCTAATGTGTATCATACTGCTGTATGTTTACTGTACAATTACGACACCATACATTACTCTGCACACTGCACCATGCCAGTGAGTGGAACGCGGTCTGAAAGTCACCGTTAACGTGAACACAATCAGTTAAGATCCGAAATGGTTTATTACGTCCTTCCAATGATTGCTAAGCCAGAATCCATCTTCTCGGTTGAAATTGTCTCTGTGTTTGTATATGTGGATCGCCTCATGAACGAATCTCTCATGATAGCCAGATGGCTTGCAGAGAACCTCTGTCTTGGAGAAGTCAATGTCATGTGAGCCCACTGAATTGTAACAGTGATCTGCCACGGCTGAGGTGTTTGTCCTACCGTGTTTCAGGTCTGCCTTATGTGAACATATGTGAACATAAGGCAGACCTGAAACACGGTAGGACAAACACCTCAGCCGTGGCAGATCACTGTTACAATTCAGTGGGCTCACATGACATTGACTTCTCCAAGACAGAGGTTCTCTGCAAGCCATCTGGCTATCATGAGAGATTCGTTCATGAGGCGATCCACATATACAAACACAGAGACAATTTCAACCGAGAAGATGGATTCTGGCTTAGCAATCATTGGAAGGACGTAATAAACCATTTCGGATCTTAACTGATTGTGTTCACGTTAACGGTGACTTTCAGACCGCGTTCCACTCACTGGCATGGTGCAGTGTGCAGAGTAATGTATGGTGTCGTAATTGTACAGTAAACATATAGCAGTATGATACACATTAGGGTGGGTAGAATAATACATAGTGTTATATTAAAATGGATAAGGCAGCAACTGCAGCAGCAGCAGCAAGTGCAGCAGCAGCAGCAAGTGCAGCAGCAGCAGCAAGTGCAGCAGCAGCAGCAAGTGCAGCAGCAGCAACTGCAGCAGCAGCAGCAGCAGCAACTGCAGCAGCAGCAGAAACTACAGCAGCAGCAGCAACTTCTGCAGCAGCAGTAACTGCAGCTCCCTTTGATGCTGTTAATCCTGCATAATGCACATGCATATGCAGTACTAATTACATTCCTGCATTTCCCATAAATATGCTAAATTCCTGTTGATATGCAAATTCCTTTGTCAATGCGCCCAGCTTATATATATGCTCTAAGCCCGTGTGCTGTTTCATTCAGACTCTGTCGCCTCGACGGACCTGGTTTTCACCTGAGGACGGCTGCTTGCGTTGTGGCCGAAACGTCGTGAGAATTGTTTTATTGTTTTATTTTTATTATTTTATTACTTCCCTTCTACGTGACTTTACCGAAAGAACCAAGAAGATTAAAGTAAGATTTGGTACAGTGCACAAAATTCAAAAACTGGTATCTGGCACTGAAGACGAATTGCCTAAATTATCAACAGAAGGTGTATATCAGATTCATTGTTTATGTGGCAGATGCTATATTGGACAGACGGGACGCAACATCAGTGTAAGACTAAAAGAACACCAAAGAAACATTAAATTATCTCAAACACAACTGTCGGCAGTGGCAGAGCATGCTTGTCAACAAGGACACTCAATTGATTTTGATAACGTTGAGGTGTTGTGTAAAACTAATTATTACTGGCCAAGACTAATTAGAGAATCCATTGAAATTGAGAGAAACAGAAATAATTTCAATCGCTCTGACAGCTACAGGCTTAGTGCGGCCTGGAAGCGTATTATCAAATAAATACAATTACAATTCCTTATAAGGGAAACAAATACCAATGAATAACAATTGAATGATTACCAATCTATATAATTACAATACTCCCCCTCCTTGCCTCGAATCACTGCACCACATTGAATTGAATTAAATGATGATGTCATCCTGATGCTGCTCTATTTGAGACTGGAAGCAACAGGTGAGCTTCACCATTCTTGCCCAATGAAGCTGATTGTAATTATCAGCGAAACGTCGTACTCAAATTTTAAAATGCTGTTGATTCTCTCTTCAGCACACCGGTGGGCTAAAGAAGTCAATTAATTTGTCCCTTGAAAACGTGACACATTTTTTACTGTTTGGCCGTGTCGGGTGGTGGAGGGTTACGACACATTTATAAATAACGCGATCTGACCCAAAAACCTATATTATGAAAAATAAGCTGTTTTAAATAATTAGTGATTATTCGGTGTTTTTGAAAATCCAGAGCCCCCAGATAATCAATGATCTACTGCGTGTCTTTCCTTTAAAATGTGCTATGAAATAATCATAATATTTACACTTGTACAGCGCTCGCTTGAAATGCTTCAGCAACTCAAAGCACCTCACGTAGCATCTCACCCCAAACATTCAAAGGGCACACCCCAGTCGCAGCTGTCCCTGTGTGGAACGAGGTGACTCAGGTTTGGCCGCCATGCTTGATTACAATTGAGTCGGCTGCAGTGTCATTTTTTTTTTTATTGCGCATCTTCGGTCCATGATGCTGGCATGCACCTGCCTACTCGTTATGGGCGACGTCACGGTATCTGAGAAGCTGTCGGCGTCGTGGTATCCGTGGTTGATGCAGCGAGGTGTATAGACCCCAAATACGCACCCTAGCAAGGTGCTCGAGCCAGTTTTTGAGCCGCGAACCTCTGCAACGAGCGGTGACCGCGCCACCGCTGGGCCACCGCGTAACTGCCTCGGGGTGTCTCCAGGCTTTGCCTTCACGCAAGCGTTGTCTCGCTTCGAGCTTCACATGTTGCTCCCGGGAGAGCGTCACCTGACCCTGTGCGTCACCATGCGTCCCCGTGCATCCCCGTCCTGCGCGTATCCGTGTGTACGCAGGGCGCGTGTGAGCTGCAGGGCCGTGGCGTGCGCGTGTGCTGCGTGTGTCCCACCTACGTGGACACGCCGCTTCTGAGCACGGTGGGGAGGGCTGACACCATGGGGCAGTTTGAGGACCTGAGAGAGGGGATGGTAAAGACTCTCATGGACACGCCGATAATGCAGTGAGTGACGATGATGACATTAAGAACTGAGCGCGTGTGGAATTTGGGTGCTGTCATTCTTATAGCGCTGGCCGGAAGGAGCTGCATTGGTTCACGCTAGGGGCAATGGTGCTGCGTGGTCTGGCCTAGGGGCACCCCCAGCGGCAGCTGGCTCCGTATATTATTCTGTCAGTAAAGAGCGATGTTGCCTTGTGTTTTCTCAAATTAAGTAAAAAAGTCATTTGCAGTGTAATCTTTTTCAAATTTGGCAAATGTGGACCGTGATTTCGGCACACGATGGCCTAATCTTCAATGATGCCACTAGACCACTGCAAGTGAAGCAGATGGCGCGTATTATTTTATGTTTTTTATGGTAATAACTGGGGGCGACCTGCAAGGATTTCAAACCGCGAACCTCTGCGCCACCGCTGAGCCCGAGCTGGTGACGCGCATGCTCACGTCTCCGCCCTAACCACGAAGTCTACGTTGGCAGATTTTCTGATCCATTGCTGGCGATTCCACCTTTCCATAGCAGAAACCCCTCTCAATGTATGGCGGCTGAGCGCGACCTACCGCTTAGTTTACAGTGCCTAGAGAGGTGATTTGGCCAAATGTGGCGGGAAGGTTGTAGGGCTTTGGGGGATTGCATTTCACAATGCCTTGAAAACACGGTGACATTAGAGATGTTAAAATATCCACACGGCGCACCTGTGTACACACGTCTCACCAGCTTCCTTTGGTAAGTCGCTATGTCACAACAATTTGCATTTTCAGGTATGGCTAGGGTGTATTCTGTCAATCATTTCTGCACACAGTTCATGCCAATTTTTTAATAAAAAAGCATGTTAGACTGTGTGCGTGTTGTGTTTATACATGCCTGTGCACGAATGTGTTTTATGCGTGTGTTATTTTGGGGAGTGTACCTCCGATAAGCACAGTTCAACATATGTACAGGCAAGTCCTCAATTTACGAACACCAGACTTGCGAACACCCGCACTACAAACCAGCTTCCATTTTTTTTTTACATTAACTTAAAAGGCAAACTTGCAAATTGAAACGCTGAACTATTTTGTTCAGCTTGAGCGATCCTGCGTCAGATGGAATGAGTCAGCCGCGCGCTGAGAGTGAGTGTCTGTGTGTGTGTGTGCGCCCGGATACGTGTGTGGGGAGCGGTAGTGTAGCGGTTAGTGCACTGCACTACAAACCCGGCGACCCGAGTTCGATTCCTTCTCACGGCCAACACCAGTGACGATTATCTGAACCGGTCCTGGGCCTCCCCTAGGCCGACTCAACCTCAAATAAGTACCTGGTGTGGTGTAATATGGGACCGTTCTTGCCAGTATCAAAATATAAGAATAGGTTTTACCCTTTCTGGCGATAAAACAGGTGTTAACATGTTAAAACACCAAACGGAAACCTTTTGCAAGGAATCCTGTCTGCATTAACCACACGAACATCCAATCAGGGCATTTATATAATCAGGGCATTTATAGCTCAGGGTGAGTAGCTACTTATAGCACCCCGAGCTACAAATGCCCCCTGGCACTGACCAGCATGGTGAAGTACGGTAAACGAATCCCATGACTGACATGGCACGCGGTGGCCTTCGACCAGCAGCGGGCTTTGCCTGGTAGGATGGGGATGGTTTAGTTTTATTTCTATGTGTTTGGGTGATTTTGTTAACTTTCGTACGACTATCGTGTTTTTGTCCTGTTTGTTGTTTAAATGGACATCTTTGTTCGTGGCTTGTTGCATAGATTCACGCTAGAATTATTCGTTGAGCTATCATTGGTAATAGCCAGGTTGCTTCTGAAAAATGTGTTAATATAGCCCAGTGGGCTTTATCTGGGAAGATAAATAATAGTTTAGTTTAATTTGTATATTTTTAAAGTTATTTCTTCACGCCGTTCGTCTTTTTGTTTGTTGTAACGTTCTGACCTCGTGCCCCTACTGAACCGTCTGTGAAAAAAGAGCTTTGTAGCTCATCGAATTCCTCCTGCAGTATAAATACAGATTATGATGTTGACAGTACTAACCGGAACTCTGCTTCACAGTGGACGTTACAGGTCCCGTGACATCATTCTTAGGCCATTGTGTGTGATGGCATCACGGTCCACGTTTGGCCAAGTTTTGAAAAAAATTGCACAGCAAATTACACAATAGGATATACAAGTATAAATACATATTCTGATTCTGGAATGACGAGACCTGTGAATCGTAATTATGACCGTGAATATAAAGGAGCCAGGGGCTGTTTAGGATGGGCTTGCAAAGAGTAAGTCTGAGTCTCGGGGGTTGGCTGCTGAACTGCACTGTGTGAATGCCCGCACACGTGATGTTAGAACAAGACAAATTGCTGGTAGCGAGCACCTATAAACTAAACTGAAACATTTTTTTTTATTTTACCAGCTAAGGCCCACTGAGCTGTTTAGCTCTTTTTTAGAAGCGACCTGGCTACCAAAAATGATAGCTCAACGAAGTGGTTTATCATCATGTGGAAATTTATTCTAAATGTGGAAGGAAAAACCGGAGGAGCCGGAGAAAAATCCACGCCTGTGAAGGCGAGCATGGCACACAAGGGGGTGGGTGGCCCAACACCACTACCCAGTGCTGATGTTTACACACCACTCCCCAGTGCTGATGTTTGCACACCGCACCGGGTACTCATTGTATGGCTGAGTCGACCTAGGGGAGGCCCAGGACCGGTTCAAATATTCTCCACTGTTATTGGTCGTGTACAGGAACCGAACTCGGGTTGCCGGGTTCCTAGCGCAGTGCACTAACCACTGCACTACCGCTGCCCTGTGATGTGATTGCTATGACCTCCCCATTCACACACAGTACCCGTGCATTACCTTGCCTGCCCTCTTGACAGTGAAATTAGTGCAACATACGCAGAGGAACAAAGTACATGCAGGTTTAATAGTCGTCATCGGGCATGACCTATCCGCTGCTAGATGAAGACATCCCCAAGCTCATGATTCACCTGGCACCTGCCACAGCGCTGCCATGTTTTACTAGTTTGCTTTGTCATTGTAGGTGACCCAGGTCGCTCTTGCAAATGAAACTCCATCCCTGGGTCTCTTAAATGTCTCACCCGGTTAAAGAATGTACACCTTGAAGCGTTATCTGACTGTCGACTTCACAGTGGAGCATCTAGTCGGGGGCGTTCCCCCCACTCTGGCTGCCACTCTGCTGTTAGTCTCGGCCTCCAGAGGTCATCCCTGCTGTTTGCGATGATGCATCTTGCTCAAGCCCCACTTTTCTTAACAGTCAACGTTACGCCTCTGACATGCATGCGTTCTCTAATCCACCTGTTCCTCTCTCTCTCGGTGTATTTCCAAGCCTACGTCCCACTTCACTTATTTTGCAGATTTTCACTTTTGTTCCATTTTGTTGTCGTAGGAGGTGAAAGGCACCGATTAAACGCAGTCTCCTCGAGGCACATCCATAATTTATGCTACTCTTCATTGCTATGTTCCATTTTCCTAAAGCACCCCAACCACCCTTTCACCCGCATCTTAAAAATGTAACATACAATAAGTTAATTAAACCGTGGGTAATGTGCCCGTCAGAGGAACACACCTAGACAACACAGCACAATATAAAATGTGAGGACAGGGAGGCAATTATTTTTGTGAAGAAAAAAAAACGTTAAAGAAAACGATTCTCAGAATTATGGCTAGTGAAAGCGTCGGGAATATCTAAATCACAGAATTGCGATGGTCTGAACGCGACGAATACAAAGTGCCTAAGGACGATTGCTGACGGCGGCGAGCGCAACCGCTGCCCGCCCGCCCGCACGTCCGCCCGCTCGCGAGCGCGCTGCTCACCGTTCACTCCGTGTCCATGCGCGCAGGCCCTGCTCGGTGGTGGAGGGAGTAATTCGCCTCCTGGAGGACGACTCGCTGAATGGCACCGTAATGTCGGTGACTCCCAAGAAAGGCGCGTACGTACACGCGTTCCCCAGCAGCCTGCTCTGAGAGCCACAGACGTCCAAGATGCACAACCACTCAACCCGAGACGTCATCGGCCTTTCGTCCATCGCGATACCCATGGGCCTTCTAAACGTTGCGAGCCCAACGAATTATATTGTCACGTGTATGTATGTATGATTAACTTTTTTCGCACCATACGTAGCCAAACGTGCTCACCTGGTGCACAAGTGTTTTTAGTGACGTGCAGGTTATCGTTTGAGCTCACCGTGGGGGAGTTGGAACGGCGATTCTCACAGCCAAACTTAGCGATTAGACAATGCAATGTTTGGCTTGAAACGCGTAAAGCATCTGACAGGTAAGATCCTGGAAGTCGGAATGACAATCACCAGACAATCTGTAAAAATCGAATATGAATCATATTGGCTGTGAAAATCTACAAGTTAACTAAATGTCAAACATTATGCAGCACGTAATATACCTCATATACTGTATGCTGAAGTGAGACGATCAGATCATGGAGATGAATATGAACTCGATTCCGTACGTCAGGTTGGGAAGGTCTGCGTGAATGGATTGATCGCAATAGCCCCTGGAATAACTCAACAGACTTGTCAACTCAAGACGGGTCAGGGCAGCTGTATTTTGTACCCAACAGTGGCAGCTCGCAACTTTAAGTCTGGTGGCGGCAAACACCGCCACACTCGGGAATTTTCCAGTGTTAGATGACGTATGCTCGGTGGCTTTCATTCACAGCTGTAATGTGATGACTCCATTCGGAGTGAGGTCACCAGGTCGGCGCGTGACACGCGGACACGCCGTCACTCACAGTGCCACCGAGACAGAGCCACCCCACACTGAAGCCTGACCCTCACTATTACCTATGACCCCCCCCCCCCATCCACGGTTGTTCACGGGGGTTGTCAGGATTTGGGGGTTCGCTGATGTATTCAAAGCCACATTCTTTTTTGTTCTGATTTCGACCGTCTTATTTGAATTGTTTCTTCCGTCTCTCGTGCAGTTTTGTTTCGCTGTTGGCCTGAGTATAACCCAAGCCGACGGTTTGCATCGGAGACTAAATAATCATTCTTTACCACAAGATGGGAATGCTGATGTTATGAATGTAGGAGTCTATTAACCGTTGCAGCAATGCATCTTCTCGTGACTAATATTGTTAATTTCATGTGTCATCATATTCGTGTCCTATCATCGTTCTCATCAACTCATCTCATCACACTATTTTGCTGTACAAATAGCTAATTCTTTGTTCAGCGCCTTAAGCCAAGGTGCTATATAAATAAAAAATAATATCAGATAACTAGTACAGAGCGGAACAAGCAATGATTCATCATTGATTTGGGAGTGTTTGTGAATGGTAATATCGGCTGTGTAAAACCAACGTGTTAAAGGAACCAACGACGTAACAGGACATGCGCTCGCGTGTGCTTGAACACTTGCAGAGAGTGCGTGTCATCTTGGCCGCCGCGTAGCAGTGCAAACGTGCTTCACGTCCCTGTACCGGAGGGGCAGTACGCGCCGGTGTGTTAGGTAGGTTTTAGGTGATATAACTCGATAACAAATCATCCTGCTGGTCACTCTGGCAGCAGATAAGCCCATAAAATGCGATCATTTTTCTTCTCAGAGTCTGAAATCTTAAAACAAGTGAAGTACATTTTTTATTTTTTGCTTAAACACACGGTGCCTTTCTGCCACATCTGCCTCCCAAAGTGCCGTCACATCAGTACTCATGGATGTAAAAATAGATTATAGTAAAACATTGGATTGCGAGTAACTTGGTCTATGAGCAAAATTTTAAAATAAATATTAATTTGATAAACGAGCGAGGTCTTACAATACGAGTAGTACGTATATGCTTTGTCTGCTGAGCGTCACGTGATCACAACTGATATACGAGTGCTTTGATATACGAGTGCTTTGAATTACAAACACGTTTCCGGAACGAATTATGCTCGCAATCCAAGGTTTTTACTGTATTTGAAATCAAAGCACTGATGTGCCTGAAACGATGTGCAAAGTTACGAAGCAGAAAATGCAAACGGGGAGGATGTGCGTGGGTATGAATGAGAGTGTTTTGAAAACAAGTGGATGGATTTGGTTTCAGTTTGGTGGCATTTGCTTTTGAGTGTAATTTTTAAAGTAACTTTTTAGCTGAGAAACAAGGCAGCCGCTGCCACAGTAGTGTCAGCAGAGTTTACTCTCCAACACACTCTCGAACACACAAGTGTGCTGAACGAGTAACGAATTTGCACGTTTTGTTTATGTGACAAACCTTACTAACTGGTGGTGGCGGGTTTAATGACATTTATATGAACGCGATCTGACCCAAAAAACCTCCATTAGGGATAATATTGGTCACGAAAGCCCAACTACTGTTACGTGTTAAACTGTCAGTGGTGTAATTTTCTCTGCACTGGACTGGCACAATAGAGGTCGCCGGTTCGATGCCATCTCCCGGGCACGGCAGCGGAGGCAAAGAGGATGAATTTCTTCAATCACCTCATGTCCACCTAACAGTGTGTAAATGGGTTCCCATGTGGTGAGATAAAATGTGGTGTACGCCCACCCCTTGCCACAAACAATTGCACCGGAATCAATTACCGCTTGCTGACTTTGAGAACCAATTTAGAAAATGTTTACCGCGGTTACAATTATACCGTCTGGATAGTTTTACTCTTTAAACCTTTATATAAATGCAAATGTTTATTGCCATCCTGTGTTTGTTACGTAGACGCATTTAAGTGTCAATGTGTGTCAATGGCAGGGTCGATGGTGCGTGCGTGGCGGGTGTTGAAGTGTGGGCCTAGCACCGGCATTGTGCGGACGCACAGCTTCCCGCACATCATCATGGGAGGAAGTATGTTAAACTTCTTTCGCACCGTACCTAGCCAACCGTGTTAATCGGAGGGGCAGTTGGGGGGGGTGGGGGACAACAGACTAATCGCAACCACACCACCTGTAAATTTTTTGTCTACAATAAAATTATTAATTAATTCACCGAACGCTATGGATTATTATTATTTTTGGGCTGTCCCTGTGCAAGTGTAGTGAGTGACTTCCGAGACACAACGTGTAGAGGGCTTCTTATTTATTTCTCAAACTTCAAGCACAATCACTGAGCGACATATATATATACACGGCTACGCATAGCTGACCCATCTACACAGCCCTATCATCAGCGTCTAACTCTATAGCTGGCTGACTAATATAGCGACAACAACAATGGGAGCCGTGCAGAGGATTGGCCATGCAGCCGGACGATGAAGAGAGATGACGGCGAAGACAGCGACGACAGCCAAGACCCGGGGCCCCACGACAGCCCTGAACCTTCGGTCATGTCCCCCTTATCTACTCCCCGACGTGGCCAGACCCCACCTCCGGCCACGCCTCCTTCTAGAACCTTCGAGCAGGTTCCCGGAGCTTTCCGACTGACCCCGCCTTTAACCTTTAACCCAATTAACCCCTTCTAGTTGGTTCTTATATAATGCACCATATTTGTGATAATCCCTCCTGGTCAACAGATGGCACCCTGTCATTACATCACCCCCCCACGTTTAAATACTAACTTTTTGTCAAGGAGCAATCCATAATGAAAAAGCAAAACCCAAGCAACAACTCGGGAAGGTAAAGGGAAGACCCAAGCTACATCTCGGGAAAGTAGGGGTAGAGAGAAAGAAAAACACATTTTTCCTTCCACATAACGCGCGAGCGCGACCCCAAATACTCTCTCATACACACGGACATTCCTATCACCGGAATCTAAAACATTTTGAATGAGTCCACGACACTGGTCTATCCATGGGGGCAATCTTCGCATTCTTCAGAGGGGATGTGGGCTCAACCAGAAGACCCAGAGAAGTTGGTTCCATCCCCGGCTTCACAGGTGATGTGGGCTGGGCCGCAGCCGGCACCTCCCAGCATTTAGTGAGACCTCGTGACCCGCCAACCTTCAGGGGCTCGGAAACTGTGGGCGGCACAACACAATCCTGATGCACGCTCTCCGTCGCTGCTTCCCCCGGCTCGTCGGACACATCAGACACCGGTCGTACAAAACTTGGAGAGAAGGTGTCAGTTTGGGGAGGAACGTAAGGCTTCAACCGCGTTACGGATGAACAAACCAACGGCGACGGCCCAACGGCAACGGCCCACCCGTATATGCATGCACTGCGGCCATTTGACCTCTACCACTTCCACGGGAACTTGTCATGGCCGATGCAATTTAGGGGACGTTCCCCACGTCACCTGCGGGCAGTGCAACCACGCCCAGTCCCTTATGGCTCAATGCAGCACATGGTCATGGTGCCCCGCATTCCGTTCATGTTTGCCTCAGCCACTTCGCGTGCTGCTGAGTTGCGCTTTGGCAGTGTTTGCCTTAGCCGCTTCGCGTGCTGCCGAGTTGCGCTTTAGCGTAAGTTGCAGGGGCGTAGGTAAGATCGTTTTACCCTTGTTCTTTGACAGACCCAATTGGACCTCCATGGAAGGTTAATTTTTTCTTCCATATGTGGTGATCATGATTGACACACACGCGCCACAACCAGGGGGAGGGGTAGAAACCGGTCCGGACCGGTCGGGCCAACGGTGGTTGGAACCCCTCTGAGGGGAGGGGGCTGGCAGAAGCTACGATCCCCCAGAACCCCGCCCCTCAGGCAGAAAGAGTATATAAGGTGGGTCCCTGAGAGCGCGAGGGAGTCCGTCTCAAGCCGAAGCCAGAAGCCGCCGGAAGAAGAAGAAGACCCTGGACCCCAAGCCGCCGATGTCCTTCTAAGGACCGGGGCTCAGTGTGATGCCAGTGGTCGTGGGGTTAGGACCCTGAGGATCCCTCGGCCTGATGCCCTTGTAAGGGCCAGGTCCGGACGGGCCAGTGGTCAGGGACCCACCGGGCCAGCGGTGGGTCAGCCTCCCCTAGGTCTAGCTAGCCGGAGGGCTGGAGTAGAGAGAGTTGTAGGTACGATAGCCCGGAGACTGTACCTCCCCAGGTTGTGGGTGGAAGGGGCCATTACCCCTTTGTGTTAGGGATTAGTGTAAACTGTTGGTAAAATAAACCGTGTTGCCTCTACGAAGACTCCGTCTCCCTTCAAGAACATTACACATACATGAGAAAAAACGGCCAAAATGCAATGGAAGCGTGGGGAGCCATCCTGTATGCTACCAAGACTCCTGGAACATGCTGATCCCAATCATTTTGAGCCACACTAACCGCCTGACAGAGCATGGATGTCAGGGTTCTATGCAGGCATTCCACCATCCTGTCTGTCTGGGGATGGTACGGCGACGTTTTAATCTTCCTAGTGCCCAGCACGTCACAAACTTCGCGCAGCAGCTTCGAAGAAAAATTCCGCCCCTGATTCGTGAGAGGGGCAAAAACGCCTCGGCAATAGAAGTTGCCGACTGGTCAGGCAACGGGCCAGGCCATCGGCCAATGCGAAAAATTCTAGATTTGAAGCTTTCATGACTGAAAGGATTCATACTCTTAGGTTTTTTCGGTAAAGTCACGTAGGTAAAAAATAAAATTAAAATAAAAGTTATTATTGAAATAAAATAATTAATACCCTCTACGGGGAGAAATTTCACCTCTAGCTGTGACGGTCCGACCTGATGAAGGAGACTTGTGTTGCCTCCGAAACGTTGTGATTTATTATTATTTTATTTTATTTCTATTATTACTTTTATTAATTTTCTTTTTTACCTACGTGACTTTACCGAAAAAACATAAGAGTATGAATGCGAAAAATATTTAATACCAACGAGGAGAAACTTATTCCCCCTCTGCGTGACCGAAAAGGGTCCTAGAATGTCGAGCACGACCAACTCGTTCATCTGCGACACTGAGATGGACTGCAGCGGAGGCTGGAACTTCCTCAGCGGTTTTCTGCACGCGTAGTCCGTACAACCCTTAATCAAGTGGTGCACATCACTCGACATTTCCGGCCAATAAAAATCACGCTGCAACGTTAACGTCTTCCGCACCACGAGATGTAATAATTTGTCCTCGTGCGCCACCTGAGTCAACTTGCCTCGGAGGGTGGTGGGAACCACAATGCGATGACGATGCAGCCCTTCATCCCCCAACATCAAAAGGCAATCCCGAAGAACCGGTTGCGGGGTGTCAGAGGGAGCAGACTCCTTGTCCCCCAATTCAGCGCGACGCCACAAAGCCATAAGGGACGCATCTTCCATCTGCAACTGCCCCCACTCGGCGCACGTAAGGTGCAAAAGACTGTCACCCGGCGCGACCACCTTGGCGGGCTCCCCTTCATCAAGTGCTGCTATGACGGCCGCAGGCCCCGCCGCCGGAGTTTTACAGAGAC